CTATCTGCGGTTCAAGTCCCGGACCTGGCAGCTTGCTTTCTCACTCCCCCCTGCCCCTGTCTTTCTCTGGTAAAATTAAAACATAAACAATAATAACAAATAAAATTAAATAGAAATATCTTAAAAACAAAAACCAAACCAGTGTCTTCCCTGAAGGATGCTTGTCTCTAGTTTCACAAACCAGGGAAAAGACCAGAGCAACAAATAGACAGCCGTCCTCGTCAGCTGCACTGGCAGGCTTTGGCCAGCAGGGGGAGGGCGCACAAAAAAGAGAACAGGGTGGGGAACCTCACAATTTCCTTTTCTCTCCAGGGCTAAGTATAGAGAGGACTGGAGAAAATTTCCCAGAAATTCCACAACTTCTCCATACGACAGGTCTTATGCCTCAGTCAGCTGTCATCTCTTTTGGAATAATTCTATTAAAATTAGGGGACTGTAAGAGTCAGGTAAAGAAGGCCAGGCTCCTAGGCAAAATTCTTTTTTTTTTTTTCCCCCTTTTTGGCAAAATTTTAATAAAGGAAACATCTGCCTATTCGTTAAACCAATTCATTAATGGCGCTCGGTCATTACATACAATTTCTTTGGGGTAAAATGTAATTGCTTTGAAAGCCACATGCACAAAAATATTAAGGCCAGTGTCCCCAGGTGAGATTAGGCAGTTAGTATTTGAGTGTATCAATAAGCGTTTTAATCTGTCATCGATCTGTGTTAACAGGGAGAGATCCACACAGTTAAGCGCCCTCTTACATTCTCAGGATCTTCAGAAATCTGGCTCTTTGGCTATCAGTAAAAAAATAAAAAAATTAAACAACAACAAAAAAAGAGGTTCAACTAGAGTTCCGATTTGTGTTAGGGTTTCAAGACAACTTTATTTGATTAATTTCAAGTAAGTGTATCAGACTACAGAAGCCTAGTGCTGATTAAATACTATAACCTGACCTCCCCAACCTACTATCAGCTCTATTCTATATGAATTAGATGACGATATGAAATTTATGAGACTGGGGTGTTTTTAAATGGATGAGAACACAGAAGTCAACTAAAGGAATGTGACTGCACATGAAATGAGTGAAGACGATACCTATTAAATTATTAATAAACCATGACATCCCAAGGCCCTAGAAAGCTAGACCTTGGGAAAGGTTCCCCTTACTCTGTGTTGACTATAAAGATATTTTTATTTCCAAAGAAACCAGAGGTCTTGTTTGGAAGGACACCTGAACTTTAAGCAGACGCTAAAACTCTTAACGGTGGCGAAAAGGAATATTCTGAGAGTTACACAGACAAGTGCAATTTTCACCAACGCATTATTGAGTAAAGAACCAACAGTCTGAACCATTTGGAAAAGTTGATTTACATTGTCATATATCTGACGGTGCTTAGAAAGCATCCAAACCATTTCATGCTGATGGCTAAGTCAAAAACCAACATGAAAAGTGCTCAGAATGATGAAAACCTGATGCTAGAATAAATCTCCATGAACTTTAAGTATGCCATGGAAATATAAATTGCTCTTTTTTTTTGGTTTAGGTAATTACTTTCTTTTAAAAAATCAGCAGTTAGAACATACGATTTATTCGTTTTTTTTTTTTTTTAGGTGATAAAGGGTTTCTCCTGCTCCACTGAGAAGCCAAGTCGTGATAAAGCAAAGTCTTGTTACAGACTCTAACGAAGTCAAAGACACTCTTTAAAGTGCCATTTCCAGTCATCAGAGGGACGCCGTGTAGCTGAGGACCGTTTTAAATTGGAGACACACTGCCAGATATACGACCTGATTAAATCCAGTCTGAGGTTTTGAATTTCGAAGCATGAGAAGAGAGCGGTGAAGACCTTCCTCGGCCTGACCGGTCACAGCCGGGACTGCCACACCCACGGCCCCACCTGGCAGAGGCTGGGTCTCCTGCCATTCCCACGGGGCCTGTCCTGGCCATGTGCCTCAGTCAACACACTGTCTCAGGCCTATTTCTGAATGCCGGTACCCACAAAAGCATTCATGAATTGGAGGGGTTTTACCTCAAGGTCGCCTTTGGTAATTGACTCTTCTTCAACCCGGAACTGAAGGTCCTCAACCTTCCTGTGGAGTCAAACCAAAATAAAGCACTTTAAAAACGTAACTAAGGGTAGGGACCAGCAGGTGGTGTAATGGTTACTTCACTGGACTCACACAAAGTCAACCGCGGTTCGAGCCCCTGACCTGGCAGTTTAAAACTCATGCCAGGCATGTGTGCATGTGCGCCCAAAATCCCAGAGAAGAATGGATGGGTGTGGCTGTCCCACCGGGAGTGACATCTCGCCTTCTATCTCTGTCTCTCTGGCAAAGTGCATGCACCCTATATCTTTAAAAGAAGAAGAAAAAGTAATGGGGGCCGTAGGTGGTGTGTTGGTTGAGGTGCTGGAAGAAAAAGTAAAGGGGGCCGTAGGTGGTGTGGGGCCGTAGGTGGTGTGTTGGTTGAGGTGCTAGACTCCCACTGGCCAACCACAGTTTGAGGCCCAGACCTGGCAGCTTGCTTTCTCACTTTCTCTGTTTTGCTCTGGAGAGTACATATGCCCTAGAGCAAAGTAAACAATAATAACGAAATTAAATAAGTAATTCTTTAAACAGAGCAGCCCGGTAGTTAAGGGAGCAGGATCCCACACACCCAATCAGCTTGAATCTTGGCCCCGCTAGCTTAAAAATTACACCAGACGTGTGTGTGCCCCAAATTCCGACAGGATAGAGAAATGTAGGAGAAGGGATTGTGACGTGACCACACCCCACCACGGGGTGCTTTCTCCCCCTCATCTGTCTCTGATGAGTGCATGTACCCTCTGACGATGAAAGAAAAGTTAAGGAACATGACTGCCTTGTCCAAAAAAAACAGAAACAAACTAACAAATCTGGGATTGACATTCTAGTGAAGTCAGCAGATAATAGAAAGCAATACCTTAGAGATAAAAAAAATAGGGACCAGCAGTTGGCGTAATGGCTGCGTCACTGGACTCCCATGTAGTCGACCAAGGGTCGAGGCCCAGACTCAGTGGCTTAAACTTACACTGGGCGCGTGTGCATGTGTGCCCAAGATCCCGAGAGGAGAATGGAGAAGGGACTGCAGCATGTCCATCCCCCAGGGGGTTATTTCTCGCTTTCTGTCTCTGTCTGTCTTACTGGTCAGCGCATGCAACCTATAGCAAAAAAACAACCCCCCCCCACCAAAAAAAATGCATCTTTAGGCCTCTGGTTTCTAAGGCCTTGCTCTAATTATCTAGAAACACTCTGAAGTCGTATCCATAAGGTAAGAAGAGCTGAGGAAAATCAACTGATTCACAACAGGCAGGACAGATCTGATGGGGACAAGGCCAGCCAACAAGAGCCGGTCTGGTGACCGCAGGCACAGTAGCAGCGCCTCGGGAGAAAGCAGGGGACGCCCCTCTCTTTAGAAAGCCGTCAGATACTCCAGGGTGAGGCTGGCAGGCTTCTCGTGCGTAGGCACCCAACCTTAAAGCCTCCAGGACCACACAGCACCTGCTCCGCACCTGGGAGGCTGGGTCATGAATGATGTGAGGAAGACACAGTCAACGATCCTGTTTCTGACTCTAAAACGTACAGGCTTTTTTACACCTTAAAGCCCTGGGCATGGGTGTCGGTCAGTACCGTCACAGGGTCAATGAAATACAATGATATTCTGAACGCAGGGGGCACCCACATTATAACCTTTACGAAAGGGCGTGTAAGGGGTATAGTGGTTAAGGTGTTGGACTCCCACATGGCTGACCACGGTTTGAGTCCTAGACCCAGCAGCTTGAAACGAAACAGGAGTAAGAAAAGGGGGACAAGGTTCACGCTGTGTGCTAAACAAAACAGCATCCTCCAAACGCAAAAGGATTTCTAGCCAAACGCAGAATTAACGAGTCCCGTCAGTTACATGAGACATCACCCAGGGAACCCTCACGTTAACCTGAGGGCCGAACCCTCACGTTAACCTGAGGGCCGGGGGACGTTCCTGCTGCCCGGGAGGCTGCAGCCTCAGCTGGCTGAGGAGCAGCAAGTACCCCAAGTGCCACCGAGGGGCCTGCCACAAGCTCCTGCATACTTGTGGCCGGGTCTGGGACCGACAGTGCCTGTCCTTGGTGAGGGCGGACTGTGCTATCGCTGTACTCCCGGGCCACAAGAGTGCCGCGACCATCCTGAGCACAGAGCGACGCTGGATTATTACTGAATTAAGTCGCCACTATCAGAAACGGCAGAAGACAGTACTAAACCCAGCAGAGGGCCCGGCCTAGGTAGCCCCCGCTGAACACTGCTGCTATGCCAGCTGAGACCACGTGGGAGTGTCAGGGTCGATTCCCAGCCCACCCAGGAAACCCAGCATGGTGGCACACACGTGTAGTCCTGGCTACTCGGGAAGGGGCATGACACAGCGAGACTGTCTAAACCACAGACACACGCCCTCAACCCGGCTCGATGGGGGACAGGCTGCCCAGACCCCAGGGATGTTCGTGTTTCCCTGCAGACACTTTCTTCAGAGATCTGGCTTGTTCACAGCCGCAGAAAGCTGCTTTCGTGAGAACCAGATGCAACTGCTCTGGCCTGCTAACTCTCGAATCGTTTCACATGCGAGTTCTGTTTTCCTAAGAAGGCACACGGACTTCTCAAGGATGGGGACGTGACATCACCTGCAGATGTGACACCGTCTGGTAAATACTAGGTCCTGGCCCTGGGCTCTCCCTGAACTGGGAGTGGCTCGAGTGGAAGCCGGACTGGAGTCTCCTCTACAGAACTGACTGAACCCACCCTCAAGACGGGCTGGCACCCAAGGCGCTCGGTAAATCAGGCCGAGGACGCAGACCATGGCGAAAGGAGTCTAGGTGTCCTGGAAAAGGTCCAAGCAAACCCTCCCCCATAGTATGAAGTTCTGCTGAACACGCGGTCACGCCCTCGATTCTCATGGTTGACAGCCACAAGGCTGTTAGCGGGACGTTTTCCCCGAGACCACGTCGAAGGAAAAAGCCACACCCACCAAGGAACACCCTGGGTCACCTTTTCTCTTCTTCCAGCTGGTTGAGAAGCTCCACCTTCTCCCTGTCAGCCGCCTCCACCATGGTGCGCAGCTGGTCCATCTTGGCCTCCAGTTCCAGGACATGCTGAGGAAGGCGAGGATGGCAGTGAGTGGCCTCCTTTGGATCCAGGAGCAAGCCCAGAGACACCCCCAGGGACCGAGGGGGCCAGTGTTCCGGGGTTGGGCATTACTTTTTTTTTTTTAATTTAGTTAGGGCATTACTATCTTAACAGGTTATTCCTGGCAGCCTTCCTAGACGCTAGATGACGAAAACCACTCCGTTAAAGCAATCGAGGGCCAGGCTAAACTCGCATCTTTTTTGCAGCTGAGACACAGAGCACACTCGACGATCGGGTTGCCCTCACTGGCACAGTCCCGGGACACCCGCAGGCCTGACACCGACAGGCCACCGACCTGGACGTCAAGACCCAAAGACTAAGGTAGACTCGACAAGAACAGAACCCATCTTTGGGATGACGGAAATGCGGGCCCCCGGTCGCAGCCCCCAGACGAGCTCGGCAAAGCAGTGACGCGAGTTTCCAGGGCTCTCGAGACCAGCTCCCCAGCCCCAAGCACGGGGCCGGCCTTCGGGCCTCTGCGCTCCACCTAGAAACCACCGCCACCTCCGCAGCGAGCTCAGCGCCAGACTTCACCTGGTCATGGCCGTCCCGGGCCAGGGCGAGCTCCTGCTCGATCTCCCCCACGTGGCTCGTGGCCTTGGCCACCTCCGCCCTCTCCAGATCCCGTTCGGCCAGCAGCTGCTCAATGTGCTGCTGCTTCTCCTTCAGGGCCTCCTGGAGGGCAGTGGTGCCGGAGATCTTCCTGGCGTACCGGGAGGAGGTCTCAGTCAGCTGCAAAGGAAAGTTAGAGACGTGAAGGGCGTCGGTGCCGGGGCGCGGGCAGGGGAGGCATGCAGAGAGGGAGGCAGCGCACCTCCGCCCAGTGGGAACACGGCCCTGGCTGGCAGGCCTGCCCATCACTAGCAAGGCTCTTCCTCAAGGAGACCAGCCAGCGCGCACCTCCTGTCTGGAAACCCCACAGAGAACACATCGGCGTGGACAGGCCAGGGAACCACCAGGGAGGTGTTCACAGGACAAGTGGCCGGAATCACAGCAGCCGGGCCTGTAGGGATCTGGAAGGGTTCTGCAGAACCTGTCAAGTGCGTTTCTCTAAACTCAACTGAGCCTGAGCTTGAGCTTAATTCTGTTATCTTCTTGGGACCTTCTGGCCAATCTTTTGATTCTTAGACTCGAAGTTGAGACTTTTTTAAGCTGCTGCTGCTTTATTTTTTGGGGGGTGGGGGTGGGGGGAGAGGTTTTTGCTATAGGGCACGTGCGCTCGCCAGACAGACAGAGAGAGAGACAGAAAGCGAGAAATCCCCCCCCCATGGGGGATGGCCACATTGCAATCCCTTCTCCTCCTTTCTCCTCTCAGGATCTTGGGCACGCACGCACACGCGCCTGGTGTGAGTTCTAAGCCGCTGAGTCTGAGACTCAAACCACAGTCGACTACATGGGAGTCCAGCGACGTAGCCATTACGCTAACTGCTGGTCCTGAGACGTTTTTAAGCTTCTTAATAGCATTCAGGGACGAAGGAGTCATCTGCGGAGTCACAAACCTCCTTTGAAGGATTAGATAGCGGGACTTCTGTCAGGATGTCCTCGGTCTCCCTTCCATCTCCCCCAGCAATCTGGCCTTCGGGACCTGAGCCCCAACTCCCAGAGAGACGCATCAACTAAGACGGAAACCCTCTCTGGCTTTCAAGGTGCGAGCGCGCCCGTGTGCATGGGTGTACCTGTGCGTGCACCCAGGAGAGAAAGGCAGGAAGAGGAGGTGGGGAGGGAGAGGGGAAGAACGCTGTGAAGAAGGAAATAGGGAGGAAGGAAATAAGAGGCTGGAACGGGGACAGAGCGATAAAGGGGAACAGAGAGAAAGCCGGTGGCAAGCGAGGTGGGGACGGGGTCAGGAATGTTCGAGAAGGAACGCGCGTGGCCCTGCCATCCATTAATCCGCTGCTTCTCGCCCAACCGGTGCCTCCATCTCAGGGCTAACAGTCACATAAAAACCCGGAGAAAATCATCTCAAGTCGAGCCACGCTTCGGAGGCTGGGAGGAGGCTCAGAGGCTTCGCGATGGCTGGATCCAGGCCAACTCGGCCTTGGTTTCTCTTCTGCGACGGAAGCGTCCTTTGTTGCCGGGGTCCTCTCCCCTCATGCTCCTCTCTGAGCCCTTGTCACAGGATGCAGCTCAGCGAGGGCCTTTCAACACTTCACTCAGCAACTGGATCACCAGGAGCGTCGAGGCCGACTGCACCCGAGTGCCTTTCGCTGTTCAGCCGGCGAACGCCACGCACCGAACACGCTGGGGCAATTCCTTCCCGGCTTTTACCTCCGAGTCTCACTTCCCAGTTTCATCATACGGTTAAAGTACGCTTCCAACCAACGTTTCTTCCTGGAAACAGCAAATACGAGGGTCCCAACCACGTGCAGAGATGCCCCACGCATGCACGAGCTCGCGGGAGGCGGGAGGCACTCCAGATGGGACGACCACATGGGACCACCTGCCTTTCGAAAGCACCAGGCCCTTGCAAAGCTGGGCTCGGGGAACCGCCGTGGCAATAGGCAAGTGCCACCGTGCAAACACCGACGCAGCACGGGGGACGAGGGTGGCCGCGGTAACAAGGTTCCCAGGTTTGGCTCGATGTGCAGTTCCCAGCCGGAACACGGCGTGACGGCAAGTCGCCGTGGTTATCGAAGAATGAACACGACGTATTTTTTCTTTCCAGTGCTGATTTTCTAGGACAGGAATAGATCTCTGAGCAATATCCCTGAAATTGCACTTTCCAGAACTCTACCTTGGCGTGTTCTCTCATGGCGGTTTTTGGTTTCGAAACTACCGCCACGTGAAAACGCTGTCTCCTGAGCCCAGGAGGGGGTGGCAGTTCTGTGCGTTTTCTTCACTGAATGAGGGGGGCTAGGAGGACCCGGAACTGACTGGTCCGGAAGGGAAAGGAGGACTTGGTGGGGACAGGGAGAGCCTGTACTCCCCAGAGAAATGGACGTGTGATCACAAAACGGAGGCGACTCTTCAGGAACGCATTCCTACCCCAGAACAGACACTTCCGTGGAGCCGTCATTGAACAGCAGAGCAGACAGGACGTCCATCACAGGTCGTGCTGACCGCCGTGGACGAGCCTCTGTCCCAACGCGAGGGGGCGAGTCGGCACCGCCTTTCCTGTGCCCACCACGCTGCTCTCAGCGCGGCCCGGAGGAAGCTGCAGGCCGCGGTCCGTGTGCAAACGGAACAGCTCCGTTCATTCCGCCTGCGCGTAAGAGGAAGCCCACCCGGCTGGCTGGCAAAGGGGCACATTCCTGCCCGAAGAGAGGGGCAACAAGGCCGGGGGCAGCTGGCAACCCCACGCCCCTCACCACACGCCCCGCGTCTAACTGCGTGTGTACGCCCCGTCGCAAAGCGGAGATCCCGAACTGGGTTAGGAGGCGACTCCTACGCTGCCCTTTCTGACTGAATCAGGACTTGCCTCACTTGGAGCAAACGAACACGAGCACAGAGGATGAGGCCAAAGGGTCACGGCTCTGGGCCCAGGGACGCACCACGCTGCCAGAGAATGGCGCACTGCCCATTTTATCGGAATCTCGATGATCTTATTTTTACTGCTCTCAATGAGGAAAAGAGGGAGAGCAGAAAAGGGAGTGGGAGAGAGATGAAAGGAGGAGAAACAAACACGGCTTTTCCTAGACGCTTTCGGGTCCCCGCCCAAGTCAGAATCACTCCCCACGTTCACCACTTCGGTGGCTTCGACCGCACTCACATGAAACTTCGGAGAACACGCCTTTTCTCAAAACATAATGTAGTTCCCAAAACCGAAGTCAAAAAGAACAAGATCTGCATACTCGAGGAGAAGGAGCCCTCCAATTTTCCTGTCATTTTTGGCCCAAAATAATTTCAGAGAAGAGACTTCATCCCATATGTTAAGCTAGACAGTAATTACTCAGACCCACCAAGAACTGGTACATTTTGAAGCCTTTAAGAATCTGAAAAGGGTAATTAAAACCCTTTTGCTATTTCAAAAACTGTATCCTTACAGGAGCTGCGAATTTTCCAACTTGCTTGCAAGGACTTGCACGGCAAGCCAGGGCCGCCGTCCGGGGCGGGGACCAGCAGGGCGGGAGAGCTGATGGGGCCGCCTCCGGCCGGAAGCAGAGGCAGGTGACTCACCAGGCCTGTGCGGCTGGGCTTGCTGCTCACGGAGGAGGCCACCGAGCTCATGGAGCTGAGCGAGGAGGCCGAGGGGCTGCGCTTCAGGCTGGCCGGCGTGGTCGCCATCACTCGCCGCACAGCGGCCGCCTTGGCTTTGGCTGGGGGGGGGGCGATCTTGGTCACTTTGTGGACGGGAGCGAACAGGCCGTATTTGGGCTGACACTGAAAATACCTTCAGAGAACAGGCACAAAAAAGCAACTCGATTACGAGAAATAACTACGATCACCAAAAGGCAGCTCCGACTCCTAACTTAGGGCTGGCCCGCTGGGAGCGCCACATTGTGACAGGGCTGAGGGCACACATCCGCCCGCACACTCACAGGTACGCAGGCTGACCAAAACCTCGGCCATGTTTTAGAAAACACCCGCAGGATGGGACCAGCAGATGGCATAATGGTGGCATTGCTGGACTTCGCATGGCCCACTGTCACTTGAGTCCTAGAGCAGAAGCTTGAAACTCACAACAGCCATGTGTGCAACCAAAATCCCGAGAGGAGAATAAAGGAAAAGAGACTGCAGTGTGGCCCTCCCCTAGGGGGTGATTTCTCACTCTGCCTCTGTCTTCCAGCAAGCACGTATGCCCAATAGCAAAAATCTGTCTCAAAAGAAAACACCCTAACGACAACATGATGCACAGAGACGGGGTGCTCATTTCTTGCCGAGGTTCCATGCAAAGGAAATAAATACTTCTGCCTTCTGATACATGTACAGAGGGGAATTCGGCAATATCGTGATGGCACTTAAAGCCACGCCCAACAAAGGGAAAAGGAAATCAAACGAGCATCTAGCTGGCAGGTCCCCTGGAGGAACACGCAAGCATTAGCTGGTGCTGTCAGTTAGCGGACTGCACCCGGAGACCTGGCAGCTCTGAAGAGCCTCACTGTTTAACATCAAGAAGGGATGGTCCATTTAACCAAGAAGGTTAGACCACACAGCGAGTCTAACCTCCACGAGTCATTGCTACTGTCCGTGGGAGGTAAAGCCCGTGGGTGACAACCAATCTGTATTATGCTGAGTAGGTAAAGTGGTAGCTACAGCACTTTAATACTCGAGGGATGCACGCATACACTGTGCGCTCCTGTGAAGGCTACAGCACAGGGGTTAAGGTGGCTGGATCCCACGTGGCCAACCATGTGGTTTTGAGTCCCACACCTGGAGGCTTGAAACATACTCTGGGGGACCAGCAGATGGCATAATGGTTACATAGCTGGACTCCCATATGGCCAACCACAGTTCGAGCCCCAGGCCTGATGGCTTGAAATTCACAACAGGCACGTGTGTGGATGTGCCCTAAAACCCTGAGAAGAGAATGGAGGAGAAAGGACTGTGGCGTGGCCATGCCCCCGGGGCATAATTTCTTGATTTTGTATCTCTGTCTCTCCAGTGAGCACACACAGCCTCTAGCAAAAATCTCTTAAAAACAAACAAACAAAATCACTCTTGGCACGTGTGTGTGCATGCCCCGGATCCCGAAAGCACGAATGAAGATGGACTACCGTGTGGCTGTCCATCGTCGGGCACTGCTTTCTCACCTTCTCGTTCTGTCTCTCTAACAAGTGCACTGTTCTCTGGCCAAACTTAAAAAAAAAAGAGGATGGGGCCGGCAGGTGGCATGGTGGTTAAAGGTACTGGACTCCCGCATGGCCGACTGCAGTTTGAGTCCTAGACCTGGCGGCTTCCTTTCTCACTTTCTCACTTTCTCTCTTTCTCTCTCTCTCTCTCCCCTTCTCCCTCTCTGGTCAAATTAAAATAAATAAACTAATTGAATAAAATAATTTTTTAAAAAAAAGAGAGAGAGCAGAGAAGAAAAGCTCCAGTTCTTGTGGGGGAACCAGTAGACGGGTCTTTGGAGAAAACACCCTTCCCAAGGCAGTCTGCACGCGTGTGACGGAGCGGGAGCCTCTTCCGGCCCAAGAGGGAGACCAGCTGTTGCCAGTGCCGGACCGACCTGGTTCCAGCGACGGCGCCATCGTTCTTCCCGAGGGGCTCGTCCAGCTCCACACCGCACCACTCCCCCTTGGCGAAGTCTGTCTCCCCGAGAAACCGAACCACACCAGCCTTCGTGCCACCAACCTGGGAGGGAGAGGGTGAATGAAGAGATGAGCGTGGCTCCACTGCTTCAACCCGGCGCCCCCAACTAACAACCAAGGGCCGCCCCGTCCCCTCCTCACGGACTTTCCCAGAGCTCTCTTGCAGAAAGACTGGCAGGGAGCCAGCTGACTGTCATTGCCAGGGTGACTCGGGACCCGATACAACCCGATAATAAGACAGCCCAGGCCCTATGCACTCGGGGAGGCTGTCTGCCAAAGGAAGTAGCCCCTTCCTTAGAGAAAAATGTTACTATGTCGGAACAATTATCTGGCTTTAAAACAAACAGTTGCTATAAAAATAAAGCACACCGATAAAGGGGGACGAATTCATCCGCAATCCCTTACACTTTAACAAGTGGTGTCTTTATTTTCTCATCCCCCCGTTAGGTCTTCACGGGGGTGGGGGGAGATGAGCTATAACACACGCATCTACACGTCCACACCTCATGCCTGGCTTTGGCCTCTAACTGTCTGTTACATAAAAACTAGGTACTTTAAAACAATTTATTCCATGGGTATTTTATATTCTAAGGCTGTTTCTTCACAATTATTAAGATTACCATTCCTTGGGGCCAGCAGATGGCATAATGGTTACATTGCTGGACTCCCGCATGGCTGAACAAGGTTCGAGTCTCAGACCCTGAGGCTTGAAACTCATGCCAGGAGCGTGCGCATGCGTGCCCAAAATCCCGAGAGGAGAACGGAGGAGAAGGGACTGTAGTGTGGTCATCCCCTGGGGGTGATTTCTTGCTTTCTGTCTCTCAGGCAAGCGCCCTATAATAAAAATCTCTCCCAAAAAAGAAAAAGAAAAAAAAAAAAAAAACCTACCATTCTTCACTTATATTTTCATTTTACATTGACTGCTCAAAGCCATGAGTCTTTTGTAAAGTTTGACCTTTTTTCTAAAGATCTTTACTTGTTTTAATTGCCAGAAGACATGTGTGCTCACCAGACAGAGACGGAGAGAGGGAGAGGGAAAACTTTTGCCAATGGAGTGTGGTCCGGCCTCAATCCCTAGGCCTTCACTCCCTGTTCCTGCTGGGATTTTAGGCTTGCACACGCACGTGCCCAGCATGTTTTTCAAGCCACCGGGATCGGGCACTCAGTCAGCCATGTGGGATCCGACTTCCCAAACCTCTAGACTGTGGAGCCCATCCACGTAATGTTTAACTTCTCTCTCTCTCTCTTTTCTCTTTCTCTCTCTCTTTTTTTTTAACTTTTGCTCTTGGGCACACGCGCTTGCCAAAGAGGGAGGGAGAAACCACACCCAGGGTGGGTGGTTACACCGCGGTCCCTGCAGGGCCAGCAGAGCGCCAGCAGGGCCAACCGCACAGAGCAGGCATAGGAAAGATGACCTTCTCAGCCGGGACCTATGAAGAAAAGGCCAGTTTTCTGGTGTTGTTTTTGTTTTGTTTGTTTTTTGTTTTTTGCCTAGCCCCATAGCCTAGTGGTTAAGGGAACTGGATCCGACATGGTCAAGCACAGTTCAAATCCCTACCCTTGAGAAACATGCCACTAGGGGCATGTGCACATATGAGGGTGCATGTGTGCCCCAATCCTGACAGGACAGAGAGATGGAGGAAAAAAGCACACACACCCTCTAGCAATTAGAAAAAAAAAAAAAAAGCCACTTTTACATGTAAACCAATTTAAAAAAAAAAGCTATCCAGAGCCAGCAGGTGGTGTGGTGGTTAAAGGTGCTGGACTCCCACATGGCCGACCATGGTTCAAGTCCTAGACCTGGCAGCTTGCTTTCTCACTTACTCTCTGTCTCACTCGCTCTGTCATTCTGTCCCTCTCTGGTCAAATTAAAATAAATAAATACAGGGACCAGCAGGTGGCGTGGTGGTTGAGGCGCTGGAATTCCCACATGGCTGACAGCAGTTCAAGTCTCAAACCTGGCGGCTTGCTTTCTCAGTCTTCCTCTCTGTCTTTCTCTGGAAAAATTCATGTGAAAATAATAGCAATAAATAAATAAATAAATTTAGATAAAATAATTCTTTGAAAAAATATATATGTAAAATATTTTTTAAATTTACTTTTAAAAAGATACCCGGTGGCTGAGATTGATTTTGATGTCTCTGAAGCAAGCGAAGGAAAAAATACCCTAAAAAAAAAAAATGAGTGTGGGTTCTAAAGCTAGAGAGGCTCACAATGCCAGCTCTGTTAACTGCCTGAGTTAGTTATTTAACTTCCAAATCTCATTAGTTAAATGAGGATAACGGTGGGTCTGCTGTGAGGCTTAAATGAGATGATCCACGCAGAGCCGCTGAGCTCAGCTCGGACGCGGGGAGCCCTGCCCTGCCAGCAGCGTGCACGCCCCGGCCACAAGTGTGGGGTCAGACCCGACACGGTGACTCCTCGGTGCCCTTCAGGATCCACACCCCCTAAAATTAGCCTGCTCGTCCCTCCCGCGGCGCCCGCGCTCGCTGCAGCAGCCGGAGCATCAGCACAGGAAAGGACGCGGCACATTCGTTAAAGGTGACGCGGGCCCTCCGGATAATCTGCTGGATTCTTTGGGGCTGAGTCGGAGTGGCAGTCACGGCCACTGTTTTGCCAAGAGGCGTGGAGCAGGCTGTGGTCTGTAATCCCCCGACACGCCAGCGGGTTCGGCTCTCAAGTCAGCGAGAACCACAGCAGGCTCGAGCAGCGAGCACAGGGCCACCCCGGGAAGGGGCATCGCTCTGAGCGGGGATGGTCGGCACGCGCAGTCCCCTCGCGCCTCCTGTTCTTGGCCTCCACTCCCGGGAAGCTGGACTATTCCTACAGTCCTGGTCCCAGAGGGAGCCAGCCTCCGAAATGGGGCTGAAGAACTGCCTTACAAGTTTCCCTCCATTTGGACGTTATCGAGTACTGCTGTGACCTGAAATCCCACCCTGGATCAGGGGAGCAAGTACAAAAGACCTTCAAAAGAATTCTTTCTCTCTCGTCCTTTGTTTTTATTGGAATAAAGCCTCATAATGCAAAATTGGCCACTGAAAACAAAATTTAAAAAAACAACAAAAAAACAAAGAACCAGAAGCCCAGCCTAGCAGGGCAAGCACTAAGCCACGCGGGGTGCTGGGCTGTGGAAGGTCCTGGCATTCAGATGCTGGACAGCCTGGCACCCTGGGGGCACACCCAAGATCCAGGCTGGAAGACTAGAAGGCAGACGGAGGCACGACAGGACCCCGTTAGGGCTCCCTCCCTGTCTCTGCCTCTCTCTTGAAAAGTTCATAAAGAGGGACCAACCAATGGCCTAATGGTTGTATCGCTGGACTCCCACAGAGTTGACCAGGTTCGAGTCCCGTACCCGGCAACTTAAACTCATGCCAGGCTCATGTGTGTGCGTGCCCAGGATCCCAAAAGGAGAATGGAGAAGGAACTACAGCATGGCCAACCCCTCTTGGGAGTGATTTCTTGCTTTCTGTCTCTCTCTCTCAGGTGAGTGCATGCACCCTATAACAAAAAATCTCTCTCTCAAAATAAAGAGTAAGTGGGAACCAGCAGTTGGTGTAATGGCTATGTCGCTGGACTCCCACATAGTTGACCACAGTTTGCGTCCCGGACCCAGTGGCTTAAAACACGTTGGGCGTGTGTACGTGCGTGCCCAAGATCTCGAGAGGAGAATGGAGGAGAAGGGATTGCGGCATGACCATCTCGCTTTCTGTCTCTTTGTCTCTCTCTGTCTGTCTGGCGAGCGCACGCGCCCTATAGCGAAAACCTCTCCAAAATAAAAAAATAAAGAGTAAGTTAATAAACAGACTTTAAAACACACACACACAGGACAAGTCAGGTGGCACGGTGGTTAAGGCGGCTGGATCTCACATAGCCAGCTGCATGGTTTGAGTCCCAGACCCAAGCAGCTTGAAAATCAAGCCAGGTGTGTGTATGTGCCCAAAACTCCCAAGAGGAGAATGGAGGACAAGGGATTGGGGTGTGGCCATCCCCCCAGGGATGATTTCTCACTTTTCCTCTCACTTTCTCTTGGTGTTTCTCCAATGAGCCCACACATGCTATGGCAAAAACCTTAAACATTTTTCTTTGAGAGAGAGAATGCTACTTTACTCAAGAAAAATGCAACACTTTGGTGAAGTTTAATACGATCCTATTCAAAATGATAAAAATACCTTTTCATTTCTCTTCATATCCACTAGATGGCAAGGTAGGCCTCCAATATTTTGCTTCAGTGGAATAAAGCTCCTTTGGGTGGAAGGTTACTTTTGTATACAGTATGTTCTGTTGTCCTGTATTTTCTTTTTGTTTCTTTTTCCAATTTTAATTTCTGATTTTCTGCAAAGTTATTATGAACACGGAAAACAATGTGGTCATCTACTGCTTATGTCCTGTAACGATATACTTTGCCAAGAATGACCTTAATGACTACAGGAACATAAATGTGATCTGATAAATTACAATGAAATAAGTAATATATGATATAGTAATGGTGTTAAGGTCAATGAGAATAAAAGACTATTCCACTAGATATTTCCACTTTATAGAATTGAGAAAGAAACTTGAATACATTAGATCGTTTCAATTTTGATTCGGCATTCAGAAATGGGAACAAGTACTTTCATTTCTGTTTCTACTCAGAGGTAAAAGAATGATCTCTCTCTGTCTGTCTGGCGAGCGCACGCGCCCTATAGCGAAAACCTCTCCAAAATAAAAAAATAAAGAGTAAGTTAATAAACAGACTTTAAAACACACACACACAGGACAAGTCAGGTGGCACGGTGGTTAAGGCGGCTGGATCTCACATAGCCAGCTGCATGGTTTGAGTCCCAGACCCAAGCAGCTTGAAAATCAAGCCAGGTGTGTGTATGTGCCCAAAACTCCCAAGAGGAAAATAGAGAAGGGACTGTGGCATGGCCATCCCCAATGGGGATGATGTTTTTTACCCATTCCCACCTGTTTCTCTCTAGCACACACACACACACACACACACACACACACACACACACACAAATAACAGATTAGCTACTGTTTCTCTAAATGCAGGCAATACGATATACATTCACCCTGAAAAAAAAGATGTATCTTGCCACAAGGATTTTTTGAAACAGATGGCTACTACATTCTAGAATAGGAAGTTCTCTCTACAAACTTTTTCTCCTCGAACATGGAACTCCTGACTCATAAAAGAAATGACAATTCGCTCTTCCTGTCCCTGGAAAATAGCATCAGTAATTAATTAAACAACACAGCTTCGCTTTATTTATCTTTCGTCAGAGGGCACATGCACTCACCAGAGACAGTCGGAGAGAGAGAAGGAGAGAGAGAGAACCTCCCCAGTGGGCTGTGGCCATGCTCCCCCACTTCTCCACCCTGTCAGGGTTCTGGGTCCTCAAAAACACGTGCCCAGCATGTTTCTTAAGTTGCCAGGGCTGGTTTTGAACTGCAGTCGGCCATGTGGGGTCTAGCTCCCTAACCACTAGACTATGGGTCTGGCCCTATTCGAATATCTTCAATAGAGACAGGAAATTACAAAGTCTGAAAATTACCCAAGTGCTTTTCTACTCAATCATTCTTTTAAAAAAAAAAAAAGAAGTTAAGCATATAAACAAGATTTTATGAAAGCAGGACGCCACTGTGAGGCTCAGGCCACATGGAGGCCCAGGTTCAGTTCCCAGACCAATCGGAACGGGCCTGGCAGCGGGGGGCACACGTGGGGTCCTAGCTAAGTGGGACACTGTGGCAGGAAGGACCGGGGCGAGGTGAGATCCTATCCGAAACACCGTCTATCCCAGCCGTGGTGGCACTGCAGTAGGGCGACCCTCGGCAATGCTGGAAGCCACATGGAAGGCCAGGGGTCGGGTCCCAGGATTCCTGACCGCCGGCGCACACATGCCCGATCCCGGTGTGAGGCTGAGTGCTTCCCGCTCGCATCGAAGAAATGACCTCGAAACAAACATCTGTGTCCAGCTGCCTTTCCTACCGCACACTGGCCAGCGCTGCGTGTCCACACTGACCGATACTGATAGAGATATCCCTCACGGCCGACTGTGTGGTTTGAGTCCTGGAACCTATGGCTTGAGAAACACGCCGAGCACATGTGTGCGTGTGTCCAGGATCCCAAAAGGTGAATGGAGGAGAAGGGATTGCATGGCCGTCCCCCACAGGAGGTGCTTTCTCACACCAGCTGCCTTCTCTCCCTAGTGAACGCACACCCCCTCTGACAAATCAGAAAGAAGATGGGGCCAGCAAGTGGTGTGGTGGTTCAGGAGCTAGATTCCCACATGGCCAGCCACAGTTCAAGTCCTGGACCCAGCAGCTTGAAAATCAGGCTAGGTGTGTGTACGTGCATGCCCAGAAAATCCAGGAGGAAAATGGAGGAGAAAGGATGGGGGCATGGCCCTCCCCCCAGGACTGATTCTCTCTCTCCAGAGAGTATGTGCCCTATGGCAAAACCTAAAAAAAAAAAGAAAGAAAGAAAGAAAACAGTACTCTTAGAATAAGAGCCGTGAGAGCAGCTCACAGGAAGACAGACGTTGTCCCCTGAAAAGTAAGGCTGACGAAGCCCCTTCTCATATGCGGTCCAAGCTAAGACCTCGGTGCAGAACAGACAGTCCCAGACGCAGGGACGACCCACTGGAAGTCAGCCTGCTTTCTCATCGCCCTGATATCACCTCCTGGAAATAGCAAATACACTCCAGATGCCGCAAAACCATGTCAACCCTTCCAGAGTAATTAATTACCCTGGGGCTTTCCACTCCGCAGACAAACCGCCACAGCATCAACACGAGGAGGCGCCTCGCGCTGGAGAGGCAGGAGCGGTCTCTGGCTGAGACCCATGCGACACTCACACGGGCAAACAGAAGCCGAGGCCGGGAGGCGGGAGGCCGCGGACGGCCTGGCACCCGCAGCCCTGACCGACTCCTTGAGTCTCCAGATAGCGCCCAAGTCAACGATGCTCACGGCTTTTTCTTTTTTTTTTCCTTTTTAAGGTTTTTGTCCTAGGGCACACATACTCACCAGAGAAACAGCGGCAGAGAGAGGGAAAGTGAGAAATCACTCCCCCTCCAGGAAGATGGCCATGCCACAAGCTCTCCTCCACTCTCCTCCTGGGATTTCGGGCACACACGTACACGTGCCCAGCGAGATTTTCAAGCCGTCAGGTTCAGGACAGGACCCACGGCTGGCCATGTGGGAGTCCAGCACCCCAACCACTACGCCACCTGCTGGCCACACATGGCTAATTTTTTTTCGCATCTAATCCTGCCCCAAATACTCTCCCATTACTGATGCCTCTCGGCTAAGGTGGGGAGAGAGATGCCGAGAGGGAGCTCCTTCCAGGGGGACTGACCCGGTCTCACCTCCAGATCTCACAGAGGCCACCTGGCTGAAGGCCATTCCTAACAGCGAAGCTTCACGCCTTCCTCGGAACAATACTTATTCTAGCAATGACGGAAAGAGCCACTCCGTGTTTCCTGAGCGTTTACTGTGCTGTGTGCGCCAAGCCTTGCTGACAACAGCATTGGTGTGTCTAACTCAGTCCTCACGACAAGGCACGCTGGCGTCCCTCTTACGGAACTGAAAATCTTGCTGAGGTCACCGAGGCAGCGCTGGCTCTCAGCTTGTGCATCTAGCATATGCTACACTGCCCCTCTGTAAGAAAAGGACAAACCAGTGCCAGCAGATGGTGTAATGGTTATGTCACTGGACTCCCACATGGCTGACTGCGGTTCAAGTCCTGGATCCGGTGGTTTGAAACTCATGCCAGGCACATGAACGTGCATACCCAAAATCCCAAGAGGAAAATGGGGGAGAAGGGATTGTGGTGTGGCCACCCCCCCAGGAGGGGGTGATTTCTCACTTTCTGTCTGTCTCTCCAGCAAGCACATGCACCCCATAACAAAAAAAAAAAACCTCTCTAGACAAAAAAAAAAAAAACACTCCAAACAAAAACAAAAAAAAAAAAAAAAAACCCCTCTAGAAAAAAAAAAAAAAAACCTCTCTAGACAAAATAAAGGCAAACCAGCTACCGTGTTGTACATGCAGAGGTTCTAGAACATTCAGTGTGGAGACCTTTCACCCGGCGCTTCCTGCTCACTAGTAAAACAGAAGCGATGGTTAATTTCCTTCTTCCTACACTCAGCCTCGTCATGGGAAAGGCACAGAAACTCTGCAATGACACCCTCTGAAGGAAGCAGGATCTTAAACACACCCACACACGTGCCTTAAAAAGCAAACACTGAAAACAAGCAGGGGAAAAGCTCGACTTTGATAAACACATCCAGGCCTACTCCTGAGCTTATGTTAAGTAAGGCCACCTCGATGTTGACAAGTTACAGACTCGTTACTTTTATGCTAAGCTGCAGACAGAGCCAGAGTAGACCTTGTGTGCCTCGGCTGGAGCGCTGTGCACCCTGCGGAGCCAGTTTCTAACCTGCTGCGCACGCACACCTACACGAAACCAGAGAAGCTGACTTCTCTATAACGAGTGCTCATTGCTCCAGTTCGGGCTCCGAGCCAAGGAGTACCCTCTGAGCACGCTTCGGGTGTCGCCAGTGGCTGGATCTTGGTCCAGCCCGGTGCCTCAGGCTCTTGACTCACCAGCACTCTGTCCCCGATTTTGAGCTCTCTTTCTCCTTTCTTCACTGAGCCAGCCTCTGAAAGGTTGGAGATGGACTCGCTGGCGGTTTTGGTAAGGTTGCTGATCTGAGACGTGGCTGAAGGCTCCTTTGCTGCTGGTTGGGACGGCTTATGGGGGATATTCGAGGGAGTGGCTGGGGGGGGGGCGGCCCGCGGTGGGGGACAGAGGGGGGCCGCCCCTGAAAGCCGGCGTCGTCTGCAGGCCGTTAGCCTCATCCTCTGCTTGCACTTTCCTCGTGAGCTTCGAGGGTCGGGTAAATATGCCCTTCAGAGGTTCACACTGGAAATAGCGGACGCCCGCCACCGACCCATCATTCTTGCCGATGGGTTCGTCTAGAACAATCCCGGCCCACTGGCCTGGTGCGAACTGGGTCTCTCCAAGAAACTGAATAAATCCAGGCTTATTTCCATTCACCCAAACTCGCTCCCCAACTCGAAAATCATCCACGAATTCCTCCTGGGGCTCAGAGGATGGGGCACTGGATGCTTTTTCACTGGGGATTGTTTTTTCCACTGGAGCTGGGATGAAAACAAGGAAGATCAGAAAAGATTCAATTTCATACTCAAGCACTCAACTTTTTTTTTTTTCCCAAAAAAAATGTTTTCGGAAATATTTGTTCAATTTTATTTACTATTCTTCAATTTGACCACAGAGAGACACAGAGAAAGAGAGAGAGTGGGAGAGTGAAAAAGCAAGCCACCAGGTCTGGGACTCGAACCACGGTCGGACATGTGGGAGTCCAGCACCTTAACCACCACGCCACCTGCTGGCCCCTAAAGTACAAACTTCACACTGAAGTCTTCCCGTAGGATAACGCATTTGCTATTAAGGAAAGATGGAAAGTGTTACCAGCAGCAGGCGTCTTCAGAGCTGTGCTCCCAGGCTTCAGGATCTTGCTGGGGGCCTTCAGGCCGCTGGGCTTCAGCATACTCATTTTCTCCCTGCTCAGAGCTGTCTCTCCTCTGCCTGTTACCACTATCTTTCCCCAACCATTGATACAACTGTGGGTGTTTCGATAGTGAAGTCAGCCTCTGGATTAAATCTGCAGAGAGAAAGACATCAAAAGATTTTAGAACTCACAGGAGAAGGAGAGTAGAAACCACAGCAGTCACTGAAGTAGTTCTCGGGACCAGCAGATGGTAGAGTGGTTACACTGCCGGACTCACACATAGTCAACAGTGGCTCGAGTCCTGGACCCGGCGGTTTAAAACTCACAGGCCCGCGTGTGTGTACACACCCAAAACCCAGCAAGGAGAATGAAGGAGAAGGGACTGTGGCATGGCCATCCTCCCTGGGAGTGATTTCTCACTTTCTGCCTCTCCCCTTCTCTGGCAAACGCACATGCCCTTTAGCAAAAACTTCTCAAATAAATTAAGTAAGTAGCTTTCATGGCATAAACTTGTCCTTCTTTTTTTTTTTTTAGGGTTTCTGCTAGAAAGAGAGAGCCAGTGAGAGGGAAAGTGAGAAATTACCCCAGGAGGGATGGCCACACCACAATCCCTTCTCTTCCATTCTCTTCCTTGGAGTTTGGGCATGCACGCACATGTACCCAGTGTGATTTTAGGCCACCGGATCTGGGACTTGAACTGCAGTTGGCCGTGTGGGAGTCCGGCAACATAACCACTGTCCTCAAACTTGTTCTTGTATATGATAACAAACCTAAGAACTTAGAAAACCCTGGATATTGAAAACATGAACATGTTTCCAAAGTGGATTTAAAAGGCAATTTATTATCCTAAAGACAAGTAGTTAAGAGTAGCACTACATTCACGGTGCTTTTATTATCTGATCTGATCAGCTCTGCACAGTGTCTAAAACCACACCATCTATTAGAAGGTCCTGGGGACCAGCAGTTAGCGTAATGGCTGTGTTGCTGGACTCCCATGTAGCCAACTGTAGTTCGAGTCCCAGACCCAGTGGCTTAAACTCATGCCGGGCGCATAGGTATGTATGCCCAGGATCCCGAGAGGAGAATAGAGGAGAAGGGATTGCGGCATGGACCTAGCCCCCGAGGGGGTGATTTCTCGCTTTCTGTCTCTCTGTCTCTCTCTGTCTTTCTGGTGCGCGCACACGCCCTGTAACAAAAACCTCTCAAAAAGATTTTTTTTAATTACAAAATCAAAGTAAAATCATGTGGTTAGGGAGAAGACTCTAACCTGCAGGGGGCGCTGCTGCTTACTTGCAGAGAGCAGCTGTCATCCTGACTATGAACGGGGAGTTCTTGGGCTCCTCACCACCTTTGCCACCACCGCCACCACGAAGCAGCAGCAGGGCCCGGGCGGCCTGGGTACCAGTCGGTGGCTGGATTCAGTCGGGGTCGAAGCCAACAGATTTGCTGGGAGACTCGCCATGCCCGGCTCCCCAGGCAGTTCCCCAGGTACCTGCTCCCACTGCAGACAGGAGGGCTGGTGGGCTTCCTCTCCAACAGGGCTGAGAAACGACCCCTCCGAAGGGCTGGCGAGGGGCTCAGTGCAGAATCGTCCACCCCACCCCAACCCCCCGCCCCACTCCAACGTCATGGAGGGACAAGGCGAGGCGTGGAAGAACTGGACGGACAGAGGAGGCAACAGCGGTTCTGGGAAAGCTATGGTATTTGGGCAGACACAAGAAAGGATAAACTGCTCCTGGAAATGTTTCACTCAAGCAACACAGTGAGTTCTTGGGCTCCAATCAAGCACACCCTCGAGGGAGATTTTGGAAATCACCATCTTAAGCAACCAAGCTAACGAAGCAAGCCTCAGCCAGTTTGAAATCTCGCAGCTCAGACACTCAGAAAAACCGCACTGCCGCCAAGCCTCGGCCGCAACACACAGCTGCACGGGGAACACGAGCCCCGTCTGCGACCTGCTGTCTCATCTCCGGGCCTCTGGCCCTCAGTCCGCCCCAGTTACTGGAATCCCAAGGCAGGGAGCTGCAACCGAGATCGACCAGAGGAGGATCTAGTCTGTCTCGACCACAGAAGTACGCGCGACACCACGAATGCTGGGTTCTTACTCTTCCG